TATTCTTGTAAGTCCATTATAGCCTTCGGGTTATCCTTTGTCTTACCTTTAACATCCATCACTATGTTGAACAAATTATCAAAATAATTCTTCTCAATATGAATGATATAAAGGTTGTGACGGAGAAGATTATCCTTCCAATAAGGCAACTCCCAAAATATACTCTGTTTCGTCCAATTATGAGTAACACCATATCTGGGGAATCTATAAGGTGGAGCTTCAGTAACTTTACTGAAGTTCTGGACCTTCTCCCAATTTTCCTCACCTGAAAGTATCAGAGGTGGAGAATCATATTCCATTTTATTCTTTTTGAATGCATTTTTCATCCTTCTAAACTCATGATCATGAGGCAAGAATGGACGATGACAATCAAAACATGATTCCTTCCGGCCATGTTTCAAAGTGAACGCCTTACTATTTTTCGTGCAGTAAGGACAAGCTAGCTTCCTAGCAGTCATCCACCCAGACAACATTCCATACACAGGAAAATCGTTACTAGTCCACATTAAATTAGCACGCAAATTGAAATTCTGCTTGGTTGATATGTCATATGTTTCAACACCATCATACCACAATTGTTTTAGCTCATCAATCAAAGGTTGCAAATATACATCAATCAAACTTTTCGGATTACATGGACCTGGGATAATACAATTTAAGAATATATATGGACTAGTCATGCACAACTCGGGTGGTAGATTATAAGGTGTAAGAAAGATAGGCCAACATGAATATGGTGTCGCAGATACAGAAAAAGGCGAGAAGCCATCCGCACACAGACCTAACCGAATGTTCCTTGGTACACTAGCAAAATCTGGATATGTCCTATCAAAGTGCTTCCAAGCTTCTCCATCTGAAGGATGATACATAACACCAGGTGGTCTTCTATTTTCAAAGTGCCATCTCATATGAGGAGCAGAACTCATCGACGCATATAACCTCTTTAACCTAGGTATAAGAGGTAAATAATGCATCTCCTTGATAGCGACCATATTCCCGCTGGAAAGCCTCTTGAAACGAGGCTTTTTGCAAAATTTACAACTGTCTAAAGTTGCATCATCTTTATAATATAACATGCAACCATCTTCACAACAATCAATTCTCATTGACGAAAGTCCTAACTTAGAAACCAATCTCTTTGCCTTATAGAAATCACCAGGTAATTTGATATTAGGGTCAACTAGTTCACTCATAAGGTCAATGAAAGAGTCCATGGCTGCTTGAGAAATATTCCAATCAGATTTGATACTTAGTAATCTAACTGCAACAGACAGCTTAGAGTGCAGACTTCCTTTACGTAGTGGACGACTAGCTTCCTCTAATTGTTCATAAAAACGTTTTGCGTCATCATTAGGAGTTTGTTCAACATTTTCATTGGGCTCACCCCCGAAGTGCATCCCAAAAGCATCTGTAACCATATCATGAATTCTAGAATCACGATTTGTATTCTCCACCGATCTACTATTTTCACCAACAACCATGTTATGAAATATCCCACGGCTACCATCGATCTCTCCATGATTAGTCCACACAAAGTAATTCTCTATAAACCCCTTCCTATAAAAATGAAGCTTAACTTCCTCCGGTTTTTCGAACTTCATACGGTTGCACCTAACACAAGGGCACCTAATTACTCCTTCACTTTGGTATGGTGGAAGTGACATTGCATGTCTAATAAAGTCATCAACCCCTTCTACAAAATCCTCCCGCAATCCCTGCCGATTAGAATAATTCCTATTGTACATCCAAGTACAATGTTCCATCTATACAAATAAAACAAGAACAAATTAATTTAGTTAATTCATATCATAATCTTATTTAGTTAATTCATATCCTAAAAGTTCCAATTCATATCCTAAAAGTTCAATTCATATCCTAAAATTTCAATTTATAAATTAAAAGTTCAATTTATAAACTAAAAGTCCAATTCATATCCTAAAAGTTCAATTCATAAACTAAAATTCAATTCATATCCAAAGGTCCAATTCATAAACTAAAAGTTCAATTTATAAACTAAAAGTCCAATTCATATCCTAAAAGTTCAATTCATATCCTAAAATTTCAACTTATAAACTAAAAGTTCAATTCATAAACTAAAAGTTCAATTCATATCCAAAAAGTTCAATTCATAAACTAAAAATTCAATTCATATCCAAAAGGTCCAATTCATAAACTAAAAGTTCAACTACAAATCATAAACCCTAGATTCTAACTAAACTATTCAAGACTATACAAAGTATAATTCCAATCTTACTAAACTATTCAAGACTAATTAAACTAATTAGTTAATAAAATTAATAAACAAAGCTAATTAAAACAAGACCTAAACCCTAGTCCTCAATGTTCAAAGAATTGAAACACTAATTGAAACAATAAAATACAATGTTCAAATAATTGAAACAAAAACTAGAAATAACAAAGAAATGGGTTGTAATTCAAACCTAGAATTTTTAGGTGGAGAAGGAGAGGGGCGGCAGTCCTAAAATCAGTGGCAGCAGCGACAGCTCCGGCGACGGCGACGGCTACAGGCGGTGGCTACGCGGGGTGGGATTGATAGACTTGTAAAAATCCTAATTAGTATATATAATTTATCATCAAATATATCTGTTTGGAAATTGATTCATCGACTTATAACTTACTCAGATGCATCGTTGAATATTAAAAACAAAACGTCTGACCTAATGTACCGACCAAATTCCGACCAACGTTGGTCGGTAATTCTGAAAATCAGAATGAAATACTGGTTTCCCCCTATTTCTCTGATTTTCTTCCCCAAAATTTCCCTAACTCCTCCCTCAATACCTTCCCCTCCCCTTCTCTATTTCCCTCACACAAATCACATTCCCACTTTACCGACCAACTTTGGTCGGTAATTTATTTAAAATAAATATAAAATATTTTTCTTCCCTTTATCGACCAACTTTGATTGCTTTTTTGGACAGACCAATTTTGATCGCTAATTACCGAATTTCTAGTAATGAATGCATGCTTGTCAATATCTATTATTGATCTACACCCTGCATCCCCGACAACCGGTGGTGCTTCTTTTCTTCTTCTTCTGAGTTGCCCCCATTTTTGTCTTCTCATTTTGCGTGGAAGGCAGGAGATGGGTTAGTGAAGAGTTAGTAGTTATTTTATGAATATCCCCTTTTTGATTAAAATAATATACACAAGTAACTTGTACATCGATAGCATAGTTTGGGACGTTTGAGGAGTTGTATACATTTTTAGCATAATCTTACTAATGGTGTTGGATTATTATCCTCCCTTCCCATTCAGCATTTTATATCCTTGGAAGAGCATTACTCCACCCTGTCTATAATATTTTTGCTAAAACAAAACTTGGGAGGGTATTTTAGGGCCTCAAAGTAGTAAATCTTAACCTATCAACTTTTGCAAGTGCTAGTTTCAATAATTAGTGCTGAGGGAGGTCAACTAAGCTTGGTGATGCTAGGGAAAAAGAAATCAATATCATGTCTCTGAAGGAAAATTGACTTCTTAATCTAATACACAAGTAACATGGATCATTCTACAGCCACCTAGAGTTCTCTGTCCTTTTGTTTTTTACTTTTTTCTGCTTAGGGATGGCAAATGGGACAGTGCGGGTGCGGGATGGTGCGGGTTTAAAGGTATGCGGGGCAGGGCGGGACGAGGCGTTGAAATAATTTTTTAAAAGGCTGATGCGGTGCGGTGCGGTTGTGAGCTTTCGCAGTTTGCACATGTTTACTGGATTTGACCTATTGTATTATCCAGTAATAAGACATGACTTCTGCAACAAACCTTAAATAGCATAACATCTATTTAAATGTTTGATACTTCATAAAAACAAAGTAAATCATTTATAACCTCTTCTGTTTTTCAAGTACACCTTTCAATTAGAATGTTAATTAAGTTAGAAATTATGAATAAAAGAAAAAGTTAGACATTTAAGGGAATATAAAATGTAGTTTAGACAAATATTTTTATGATTAAATAATTAGCATTTATCACTTAATCATCTAATGAAGGTTCGAAAATTGTTTCCAAATTCCAATACCATAAGCATAACGTTTAGGTTTTTTTCAATTTCCAGCTTTCCCATTATGAATTTCATACTGAATGAGGGAATTCTCAAATCCAATTGAACAATTCAATACATGAGCATAAGCTTTTCATTTTTTGATTGATGAAATCTAAAATCCAGCAACAAAATTAATTAAAACAAATTAGCAAAATGAAAAAAAAAAAAAAAAGAAGAAGAACTTATGGGGGGCGGGTGGACGCAGGTGTGGGTGTGGGGCAAGTGGATGCGGGTGCAAATGCTATGCGGGGTGGATTGAAATCTTCACGAGTTTATGCGGGTTTGCCCCACAACCGCACCCCACCGTTTGCCATCCCTATTTCTGCTGAAGGAAAACAATGTGATCAGACCCAACATGAGTTTACCTATGTTTGGTTAAAGCCCTGGTCGCTGTGGGCCACAATTTATGAAAATGCAACCTAATGCAGCAGCAGTAAGCACTACCCAGTTTAATGAAGAATAGGCGGCACAGTCGATAACGAAAAGGTTCAGCTTATACCACATATTAGCACTCAAATTTCATTTAAAACATTGCAGAAGAGCGTGTAAAACATCTAATAAGCTGATTCTCAAAAACCTTAGCTCCTCTCCACAACCTGTATTCAGCAGCATTCAGAGAGATCAACCCCATGCATAACCTACGCGAAGGTCCAGCTAAAATATAACATAATACTACCTTATGTGGTGACGCCGCCTTACAAAAGTAAGACATAAGAATACAAATAGCATATCAATGTTTTACTAGGGTGTGCATTCGAATCGGTTTATCGATAAATCGAATCGATTATTTGTTATCGAAATCGAAATCGAAAAAATCGAAACCTTATTGAAAAGATAAGGATAAGCATATGTACAAATCGATAATCGATAAGTAATTATCGATAAGGGTCAAAATCGAATCGATAAATCGAATGCACACCCCTATGTTTTACAATGAAGCTAGATTGAAGAGTTCCAAAATGTTTATTTACTGCAGCAGCTCATGGTGATGGGAATTATAGAGGTTCAACATGAGGGTACATAATACACACATAGCATCGACATGTTCAAAGTACACACTAATATAGAAGCTTGATCCAACATCAAGCTTAGAAAACAAACAAGATTATTTTAATATAAGCTTACATTTCAATGACAAAATAAACCCGCAATTAGTCATCTGCATGCTTCACAACAGTAACAGGACACGTAGCGTTATTCACAACATAGTTGCTAACGCTGCCCATGATAGCCCTGTAATAAAAAGGAGGAAAAACTAAACGTTAGAATATTCCTATTAATGATCATGAGATTTTTACTGAAATCCCAATGGATAGATAGATTCCAAGTTTATTCAATCTATGAAAATACATTTGGAAAAGAAAAGGCAATGAATCCATTTTGATATAATACACAACATGACATTCAATCACAAAAGGAATTATAGAAAGGATTAGACCTCTTGAGCTTTCCAAGCCCTCTGTTCCCTATGACAAGACAGCTCAAGGGAGTTTTGTCAATTGCTTCACATAACTTCTCTCGAGCATCTCCCCAGTAAATTTTCAGGACTACCATTATCTGCTAACAAAAGAAAAAAAAATGTAAGAATACTTAATCTAGGTATGCTTACTGAGAAACACCGGATCTCGTAAAATAAGAGAAAATATCACCTCCTTCTGTCTAGCAGCAAGGGTTACCATATCCAATGTTTCTGGGTCAGGGTTCACCCCATACTTCTTCATTGTGTGGGCATCGCAAAACTCGGATAAAGGAATTAAAGCTGCAAAAAGCTCCCAAAAAATGTATCAGATATTCAACCAATACAAGCCCAAGGTGTGCGTACATACTGCCCTCCCTAGACCCTAGTTGTGAGACTATACTGGGTATTTTGTTGTTGGTTCTCAGGAAGCTAGTATAACTCTTTGCAGCTAGACATGTCAAAGAAGTTATTCATAAATAAAAGGTGCAAGCATGAACTTGATGATTCCGGACATGCAACACTTTACCCAGTAAAAGATTAAACACTTTGCTGAAGGTATATTAATATTCGTAATTGTTGAGACTTCACAACTATATGTACTCTAATGCAATCTTGTTTCCTATCCCCATAATGACCAAGAATTTTTTTGTTGGTTGGGGGGGGGGGGGGGGGGGGGGTTAAATCATCCATCTCTACTGCTTAGATGGATGCTTTAACCAAAAGCAAAGTCTTGGTGAATGAAAACTTTCTGAAAGCACATCAAAAATCTGTTCTTTAATGAAATCAAGAAAATCCTATACATGGACATGCAATTTAACCCTATCCAGTTCTCCAGAATTCGCAGATCCATGACATCCGACCAACAAGGGCAAAAGGCAGATATTTTTCTAGGTACATCCAAGGATGTACGCAGGATTTCTCGTAAGTGGTGTTGATATTTAAAGAAATAGATGAACAATCCAATATAATGACATCATATAGTAAAAAATACAGTTCAAGTCCGATTAATAAAGTATATTACCACAACTCTCCTCAGCGAGTTTTTATTTACTCTTTTGAAATGGACATAGCACTTAGTACTTCTTTTTGTATGTATGAACCCAACATAATCACTAAAAGACTTTTCATTTTTCGATTTTGCAAATAAGTCTTGATCAATTTCGTAGATGAAAAATAGATAAGATAGCAAGATAACTTACAATAGAAATAGCAGCAAGTAGCACACAAAAATCCCCAAAATTGCAAATTGCAAGGAATGAGTGATTTTTTATTTTTATTTTTTTTGTTGTTGTTAGGGTCTTACGTTTGATGAAATAATCAAGTTCGAGAAGACATTGAAACTATATTTACCGCTGAATTAAACCAAACTCATATTTGGCCCCTTGATATGGTTTTCCCTTAAAGCTAAGAGGTCAATAATTAGCGCTTTGCTTTTGTTCGACGCCTAGACCCAACGATGCTCAAAACTTCAAAAAATACATGGATGTAAGTGTAACTATTTAGGTTTGAACCCGTGACATTCCACAAAAATATTAGGCATGTAACCGTGAGAGCTGAGACTTTCCATGTGATAACTATGTCATTTCAATCTTTTTATTGTTATTTACTGTCCTAAAGAAACTATGAACTATTAGCTCTGGCCAAAGCTACAAACGCCAGCACTCAAATACTTCAATCTAGACAAAAGAAAGCAGCATCTTTTGCAAAACCACCAGTATTAGCAATAAAGATTGTAAGGTACAGTATTTGAGTTAGTTATTTCACCCAAAACACAAAAAAGGCTTAGACGACGACCAACATAGAAATCGATCATAGAAGAGAAGAGAAATGATAACATACGAGAACCAGTGGCCTCCCAGAGCTGCATCTCGCCTTCTTCATAATGACCTTCAGGACGAACAGTGACCAGAATAAGGTGATCCCCTTTATGAAGGATGTTGTCAATGGCCCATTTCAGAGCTTTCTTGCTGCATGCTGAGAAATCCACTGCCACCCCTACAAATCTACCTCCTTCCATCCTCTCTATTCAACAATCTGAAGATGGCCTCGAGTTTTCTTTTTCTTTTTCTTTTTGGGTCTTGATTGATCCTTGTAAGAATGAGCTAGTGAAGACTTCGAACAATATAAAATAGGAAAGGCAACTGGGACACGACTATTCAAGAAACAACGAGGTAGTGCGATGTTGATTTGGCAATTCAGTCGTCGCATATTTGCCACCACACATAACAGCCAAAAAATGTTGTGTTGGGACCCACTTTTTATGCCTGATGATATTTCTTCTTCTCTGTCTTTCTAAAGAACAGGGCGGGTGTTACCTGTTCAGAGTTTTAGTGGGCTTGGCGCTTGGGCATAAGAATTGTGAGAAAAAAAATATTAAAAGTAAAAATAGTATTTAAAAATTAGAATTGTCTTGGAATATAAATATAATTTGGGACTTTTTTTGAATGTTTGTGAGTTCTTTGAAGTAAAAAAATTGAAAAATATTTTTTTTTTTAGAGTTTTTTAAATTTTCGAAAAATTTGAAATTCTCAGGTGAAATTTGAAATTTTCATGACAAAATATTAATTTCGAAAAAAGTAAAAAAATTCCGAAAAAGTAAAACTTTTTTTATGGCCAAACGGGCCCTTAATTAATACAAATAGGAAAGGTTTTTTTTTTGGCTTAAAGATGAGAAATTATTATTATGCGGGAAATTAAAGAGAGTTATTACAGTCCGGGACTGATCTTAACGAAGCAGTCCCTAGTAAGTCTTTGCGAAAAGTAGAGAAAGCAAATAAAGGTGGTTCACTCCACAAGTGAAATTCACACTCAGCGTTAATAGGTGAATTACAACTGCTCCCAAACTGCGTCAGTGTGTGCGCTACTTGGTTTCCTTCGAGGTAGACATTCCTTACATCCGGCTGGTCCAGTGCGTCGAGCGGGAACCTGCAATCATAAAAAACATGAACATTTGCTTTGTTGTGAAGTTTGTCCTGTAATAGGTAGAGTAATACCCAGAGGCGGACCCGGAATTTGAGCGCGGCGGGAGCACCACTAACCTTAAATATGCCAATAATTAACGATAGAATTTTGTGCGCAGTTCTTTAAGAAATTAATAAGTATGACAACTTATCCGCAATATATAAACAACTATAAATTTGTAAAGAAAGAAAAAGCACTAAGCAAAGAGTGAAAGATAACTTTGCAAAATAGGTGCTATAGGAAGCAATGTTGATAGAAGTGGTATCGCCCGACACTGCTTTTATATATATTAAATATATGTAAGTAATATGCAAAAATAAACATTGTTATTAGTGTTTTGTTATAAAATATTTTGACAAAACTGGTTTACTAAGTCTGTAATGAAGCCTTCAATTTTGCGTAAGAGGCCAAGGTTTCGAAACCTGCAAGGTTAAGGGACAGAAACTATCATCGAATCCAAAAATATAAAAGAAAACAAAAGAAAGAAAAAAAAATGCTAATTTTGCTTGAAGTAGGTCTTGAACACTAGAGTGAATGGTAAGGAAAGCTGGAAAGATGCTTAAACTAGCAGCTCAACCATTGCTACCGTCCAACTTTTGTTTGTCAGGGGGGCCAAGTAAATTATTTAAGGGATCCTATATGGATATACAATACACATAAAATCTATATATATATGGTTTTTGCCGAGCCTAACAGGTTCCGGTAATCCCGCACCCTCCACTGTAGGTCCGCCTCTGATAATACCTAGCAATCTGTTTCTACTATAATCTATGTTCATTTTTTTGTAAAAGCAAATTCCAATTCCTTTAGTAGGGCAAGAATTTCTCCTTGGATTGGTAACGAGACAATTATGTGACTGGAGAATCCATCAATAGGAAAGGCATTGCCTCTACTGAGATTGAACTTCAATTTTTCAGATTTATCATTCTGAAGAATCTTCAACTGTTAGGCCATCTCTATCAAGTGGCAAATGGAACACTTAAACTTGATAATTTAATATTTTGAGTCCTTAACATTGAATTTATTGTGTTTTAGCATTATAAATTCAAATTTAATATAGCGACACGTGAGATTTCACTAGCTTTAAATACATCTATTTATTTGACTAGTTCCATTTAATAACCAAGTTGTTGTATCCTCCAATATGATCAGCCACTTAATGATACATTTGAGTTCTACAAAAAAGCGACCAAAAACCGTCCAGCTTGAACGAAAACTGGAAAAAAAATATTTTACATTTTTTTTAAAATAAATTTGGTTGGTATATTGGTCAAAAAGTTGACCGAGCTGGTCAGACTTGCTTAGTCAAAGAAACTTTTTCATTACCGACCAACTTTGGTAGGTAATGTGGACCCAACTTTTTAAATTTTAATAATTATATTATTATTTAAAATATTTTGTAAAATTTAAAGAATTTGTATTTAAAATTACCGACCAACGTTGGTCGGTTAATGCAGGGGATGCATTTACCAACCAACTTTGGTCGGTATATTTTATTTTCTGGAAAATAACCGATCAAAGTTGGTCGGTTATTAGGTCAACATTCGTCAAAATTTTGAATTACTTTTATATTTACTATCTAAATAATATAAATGTAATCCATTAACACTTTTATAACACAAATAATGAATACACTAACATATACGATAACATGTCATATATGTAGTTAAAGTAGTACAACGAAGCGTGTTATATATATATATATATAGATATAGGTCAAACGTTTTGTTTTTAATATTCAACGATGCACTAAGTAAGTTATAAGTCGATGAATCAATTTACAAATAGATATATTTGATGTTAAATTATATATACTAATTAGGATCTTCACAAGTCTATCCCTAAAAGAACCTGACCCTATGGACCCTATTGGTTCTCGGGGTCGAGAAAAGGCTAGGAAGGGAAAGAGGAGGGTAGATAATAATACTCCCTCTTTTCCACCCTTTTCAGAGATGCCTATGTCTTATCCTCCACCACACGGCTATACTGAGCTTCCACAGCATCACGAGCCCTACACGATCATCCAGACACCAGGTCTTTCATCATAGGGTCATAGGACTAAATGTCCGACATACAGTCCAGCTGCCTCACGGCCACGTCGATCGCAGCCATCTTCATCGCAGCCATCTATATCGCATGCCTACATATCACAGCCACATGGATCGCATCCATCCATGTCACAGCCACTCGGGTCATAGCCACTCGGGCGACAACCATCAGTATCACAGCCACTTGGGTCGCATCCAGCTATGTCGCAGTCACAAGGATCGCAACCATCTTCATCAGTGACTCCATCTATTTCAGGCCTTCGCCTGCGAGGCAGTAGCTCTGACCCCCTACACCGTCCACACATGCCTCTGATACACATGCTTCGGACGATGATGACGAAGAAGTGCATTATGATGAATATAGCAGGATCATCATAGTCCCTAAGGATGATGGGTAAGAGTTATTTATTATTTTTGCGTCTATTATTTTGTAACATTTTTACTAAGATATTAGTGTGTTTTTATTGTTAAATTGCAGGTTCAAGCCGAGTAATAAGACTACGAGGATTATCACCAATGGCATCAGAAAGCTTTATGATGGCCTTTATACGACTTGGACTAATTTCCCATTCTCGCTGAAGGAGCAAATTTTCAATCAGTTTAAGGTATAAATGTTCTTTTAAGCAGTTTAATAATTTATATTTATGATGTTTCCATATAATATTTAACTTTGAAATACAGATCAAGTGTGTATGGGAAGACCTCTATAGCGCGGAAATGGCTGAAAATTTTTATCATAAAGCTCGCAAAAGATTGGCGGATGCTTTCTCCGATTCTAGAAAGAAGAACAAGAGGCCTGGCTGGTTACTTCAGAATTTATGGGATGATTTGCAAAGGCAATAGCTTACAGCAGAGTCCTTAGAGATGAGCGAAAAAAGAAAGAAAGCTCGCGCATCTGAGAAGGGAGGCTCCTTGTACGCTGGAGGTGCGATCAGCCTAGGGACAATAAAAAGAAGATTGGTACGTAATTGCTTAAATTATTTTACTTTTCTAAGTATATCTATTCTGTTTATTAACTAAACTAATTTGTTTTCAGGAGAAGAAGTTGGGGCATCCAATGATCCATGATGAGCTATTCAAGGAGACGCATATTATAAAGAAGAAGAAAGAGACGAATCAAGAAAGGTGGATCGAGGACCGGGCCTCGATTGCATATGTAAGCTTTAATTTTCTTTAAGTATTATAATTTACTTTTATAAGAATTTTGAAATACTAATTTAATTTAAAATAATATAGGGTCGCTACCAAAGTAACGTGGAGGAATTCATTCGTAGTCATCCAGCTGGTGAATCGGGAGAGCCAACCCAACTTTCGGACGAGGGTCCTGAAAGAATATGGTTGGAGTCTATTGGCGGTCCAAAATGGGGGAAGGTATACGGGCTTCCTACTAAAAAATTCCATCGCTATAAGTGTGGAATGCAAGGAATAGGGACTACCTCGCAAGGCGAGCAACTTAATATGGAGAGCCTCTCCTCTATGCGGGAGACAGTGACAAAGCTCACATCCGAGCTAGAAGCGGCCAAGGAAAGAGAAAGGGTTAGAGATGCTCAATTCCTTGGCATGCAAGCTCAAATCAGAACTCTCCTATCTACTGGAGCTTTTTTGTTGCCCCGATCTTATGGTCTGATACATACAAATAACGAACGAGCCGACTTTACAGCAGGAAATGCAATTTTAGTAAAGGCCGATAACGCAGAAGTACCCCCGCGCTCGTGAGTCATCGCCGGAGGGTCGACCTCCGCGTGATCGTTCCTCTCGTCCTGCTCATGATCATTCCTCCCGTCCTTCCCGTGATCGTTCTTCCCGTCCTCCACAAGACCGTTCTCTATACCGTCTTGTAGATGAAAGTTCATCATACGGTGATAATGATGTTGTACAAAACACCCCTTGACTTTTATATAATTTGAACTAGACAAATAGAACCAGTTTTGAACTTGTTGTAATTAGTTTTAACTTGGTTTTGGATTGTTATGTTCAATTGAACTTTAATTTGTTAGTTTTAAAGTATTTATTGAATGTTTGATTGTTGTTGTGTTGTTGTTGTTGTTGTGTTTCTGTTGTTGTTGTTGTTGTTGCTGGCAGGTGGTGTAGCAACCAAAACAGGCATTTTATGCCAAAATTAAACCCAGGAAAACCGACCAAAGTTGGTCGGTTTTTAATAAAAAATAAATAATAATAATTGCATATTACCGACCAAAGTTGGTCGGTATTTATTTAAAAAAAAATTAATTGACTATTACCGACCAAAGTTGGTCGGTTAATGAACAATGAATTCCCGGAATTCAACATTACCGACCAACTTTGGTCGGTATGTTACCTGCACTGTTCAGGTTACCGACCAACGTTGGTCGGTAATGTTAAATTTTAATTATTTTAAAAAAATATATATTTTCAGTTACCGACTAAAGTTGGTCGGTTTTTTTTAATTTTAATAATTAATAAAAAAACATAAATTAAATACACCGACCAACTTTGGTCGGTAAAGTTAAATTAATAAAATATATTTCCGACCAAAGTTGGTTGGTAAATCATTTAAATTCTTCAGATGGTTGTTTTAATATACCGACCAACGTTGGTCGATATATTAAAACGACCATCAAAATACCGTCCAAGCGTATTTGGCCGCGTTTTGATCAGTAATTGGCCATAACCGACCAAAGTTGATCTGTTTTTCTGATCGGTATTTAGCGGATAGTGAGAAGAGTTATACTTGAGGCTTTATATAAACTAATTTTTGGAAAGCGCGTGTACCCTATATGAATGAGTATACGATTTTTAAAAATTACGTAAAAGTATTAAACAATGTGTATGAGTTAAAAAAAAAATAAAGAAAAAAGTATAAGTTCCTAAAAATAATTAATGTTGTTTATATGTATAAGCTAGCTCAATAGCAAGAGAATTTTAACCCACTGAAGTTCCCGGATGCCTTGCTGGAGACCCTCCTTCTTTTGGGATTAATTAACACAATATATTTGATATAAATTAATTAAATTATAAGATTCAAATAATAATAATAATAATAATAATAATAATAATAATAATAATAATTATAATAATAATATTATCTCATCTTCTCTGAAATTAGATTAGATTATCTAAACTTGCATGGAAATAAAACGATTATTTAAATTGGATATTCTATCATTAAGTGGCATATCATAAGTATTTACCGAATTTAATATTGAGTTAAAGAGTATAATAATGGTTGAAAGAATCTATATCCAGTTATATTTATTAGAATATGTATTTACTTTCTGTACATAAATGTAGATGATGATTATATTTTATTGAAGGGTAATCATAACATGAAAAAATTGACAGCTATAAATTAAGAGCTTGTTTGGCCAAGTTTTTAGCGGGCCAAAAGTATTTTTTTTTTTTGAAAAGAAATACTTTTTTAGAAATTCAAGGTACTTGGCCAAGATAGAGATGTGCTTTTGAGCAACAGCAGAATCAGATTTTCTACTTTTGGGAAGAAGCTACAAATTTTAGCTTCTTCCTAAAAGCAGAAGCAGAAAATTAATTTTTTCAAGACAACAATATTCTCACCATAAATTTATATTTCTCAAATTATCTCTCATTAGTTTAATATTCTTTTTAAATTTTATAACAATTTAAGGAGTAAATTGTTAATTTATACTGATTTAATAATGCATTTTTATATATTAAATTTATCATGTAAATAATAAAATGCACACGCAAGTATACGTGATCGACAAGTAATATAATGATAAGTTGAGTGTCGAACCCACAGTGACTTGTATAAACTACTCACTAAATCACTAAAATTGTTATTCAATCCAGCTAAAATCAAAGTCCAATAAGATGATTATATTATACTACAATTCTAAATAATAACTAAATTATCAAGTAACGAATTGATTGTTGTGTATTTAGTAGAGACAAGTATTCCAGGGTTGTGATCGATTCACCATTCGTATTGTGTTCTTATTAACTCTCCCCTTCATATAATTCACTCATGGTTGCTAATTAATCGATAAATGCTCTCATAGCCTTCTCCCGAAGTACTACTCACCTATTCTCAATAGATTAACGCCTATATTCCTGTGAAATCAATCTATTAAGAACGCATTAAGATCACGATATTTAATTAAGCACGGTGACTAGGTATATTCCTATCCTAACCACAAATCGGCTCCCCTTAAGGGTTAAGATCATGCTCTCTTCAATTCTTCTCTAATCTAAACACGGCTTTCCCAAGCATAGCATAGATAGTAAATAGAACCTAACTGTTGGCCAGACAATTAAGCAATTAAACACAGAATTGAAGAAATAACCATATATTGGTGAATTATAATCAAGGTTAAGTTAATATCAAACAACAATCACAACCCCAGAACAATGGGTGTTTAGCCACTCATGATGTAATCAAACAATTGCATAATTGTTGAATCAATTGAAAATACTAGAAAAAGATGAAGAAAACTGAGAATTCCCCGCTTCCTCACGATCCCGTGTGTGTTTTTACTCCAAAGTGGCGTCTCCCCCTTCAAAAATAGGTTTAGTCTTGCTTTTATACGTGTTGGGTAGGTCTAGGGCCGAAATAACCTTGTCCCGGGCGAAATAGGACACATTTCACGTCACCGGCGCCCATCCCGGAGCCAGGCGCCCTCTACGGCGCCCAAAAATAATCCCTACTGTTTTTTACGCCACAGGTGGCGCCAGGCGCTGCCTGTGGCGCCCAACTGGCCCTTTTTCCTGGTTTCTTTCGTTTTGGCTCAAATTTTGCGCGTTTTGCCCTGTTCTGTTTGAAATTTGGAAAAACGTAAAATATGAAAGTTGTATCCCTTTGAGTTAACTTTCCAACCATATATTGTGGAGACCAAATGGAGTTCTGAGCAAAAAGTTATATCCATTTTACTAGACAGTGCGCAATATGCCTACTCGATTCTTTGTTCGCTCTAACTATCATCCGTTGACCCCCAAACACGATTCCGGCTTAATTCCTTGAGCTTTTACTCAGACTTCAAAGCTCCAAATCACTTGAATTCATTCCATAACATTTATATAGCTCGAAATCACTCCTACAAGGCATAAAACACACAGTTAGTGCAAGACACTAGCGATTAAAGCTCAAACTCAACATAGTGCAGTAAATTTGAGTGTAATATTCGACTAAAATACGTAATTATAGCCTATCATCATGCACCAATCGTGTTGCGGTAAAAAAATGATCAGTCCGAAAAATGGCTAATCCGTGCTATTTTTACTTTCTTAAAGGGTCTAATCTGCTGGAAGCCCAGTGGGCTTCATCGCAATATTATGGGTCATTGAGAAAAGGCCCAAGAATAAGAAAGAGAACACACCTTAACATGGAAAAAGGGAAGAGGGGTTATGCCATTTCCACAGTGAAAGCTTCAGGGTTTAAGGAGAGAAGAAGAGAGAGAGAGATGGGGGGAGTGAGAAATGGATGGTTGGGGCAAATGGGTTTCAACAAAGGTGGAGGAAACATCAATTGGTTCCCGAGGCACATGGCTGGCTGCAGCTACCCGTGCTATTCGCCAACGCCTCAAACTCTCTGACCTTGTATTGAAGTCCGCGATGCCCGTATATGTTAATACAACAACTATATATATATTAAATTTCTTTTTGTTGATAATGTATAGTACATGTTTTGCTGCGTAATTTGATTTTTGTGGGGTGTGTGTGTGTGTGCAGATACCATTGTCTTCGGCGAACGAAGACTTGCAACCAATGCTTTCTGGAAAAAGGCGAGTCATTGCCCTCAATAAGCAAGATTTGGCCAACCGCAACCTCATGCATGTATCTATTTTTCTATCTCTCATCTTCCTTCTACTAAATCTTACTCCCTCCATTTCAATTTAGACTATGTAGTTTCACTTGGCACAAAATTTAAGAAAAAAAGAGAAAGACTTTTGAAACATGTAATCCTAAAACCTTTACGGGGCACATTAAGGTAAGAGGTTCTCATTAAGGTAAAGCGGGTAAAACGAAAAGTTTAAAGTTAAATTGTTTCTAAATATGGAAATGTATTATTCTTTTTGAAACGGACTAATAAGGAAAGTGTGTTACTTATTCCTTTTCAAAGTTTGGGTATTTTTGTCCTTTTTGGAGCTTTTAGGGAGCTTAGTAGACTATATTGATTATTCATTTTCTGTAAAATCATGTTCCTTGTACCTTTTTGAAATGATTATGGTGATTAAGTTAAATTGTCCAAAGACAGTGCTGCATTTGCTACTTATTTACTGAGGGTCTAGCAAGAATAAGTAGAACCTTAAGGAACCATCCTAAAGTTGCATCTATTGATCATGCATGTATTAACATATGCTTTCTGTTAGCGAATGCAATAGAAAATTTATTTTACCGTTTTTTTTTTTTTAATTAAACCATCCACCCAAGTTTTTATCTCCTGTGGTGTTGGGGGGTTTGGTATAGACCCTTACCCTGTTTATTCATTAGCAAAATAGTACAAGGAGGGGAACAAAGGCCAAAACCTCATAAGTCACACTGATCTAGAATGGCTAGGCCTATAAATTATAAAAGAGCTACTATAACATGATATGGTTCGGTACAGCAGTAGCTCTTTCCTTATCGTTTAAGGAGGATCAAATATCCATCCTGAGTGCTTCTTTGGTCTGATTCTGAAATTCGGAATCTGTCTTCTATCCATAGTCATTGCATTTCTGGCCTCAGCAGGCATTTCAGTTTCATTGAGGAAGATGGTCTGTTGCGCGAGAGTAGCAGCATGTTTGGCTAAACCATCAGCCACTTCATTTCCTTCCCTGTAGCAGTGTTTTATCTTGATGCCATGTTGTTGCACCTTTTGCTGAATAAGTGTGACTGCCTCTTTTAGTCTCCATGGGGTATTGTATTTCCCTAGGATCATGTTAACAACCAGGAGAGTCTCTAATTCCAGTATTAGTTCTTGACAGTTGTGATCACAACACCAGAGAATAGCAAACAAGGCCGCTTGCACTTCGGAGTAATTGTTAGTCAAGAAATGTACTGGTGCGGAGAAAGCCATGATCATTTGACCATTTCTCTTCCTAACAACACCCCCAATGCCTGCTTTGCCTGTGTTTGCGGAGAAACTTCCATCTGTGTTTATTTTCCATTGATTACTGTCAAGGGGCTCCCAAAGAACCATAGTACTCTTCAGATGAATCTTGTAATCCTCTGCCACCTTGCATAAATTGTTCCATGTCCAATTCCAATCCATCTAGCTGTATTTTTGGCCCATGGATACCTTAACCTGAAAAAGAACTTGTTGACATATTCTAAAAATGGAGATAGTCTTCTTACCATATTTCTTACCGCATCTGGCCTTCCATATTTCCCAGCATATTATGGTTGGAGTGATTTGCAGTAGAAACTTATGAACATTGTTTTTTGGGTGTTTGTTCCACCATTGAGTTATGATGCATGGAATATTCCTTCCCGTGGTTCGAAATCCAAGTGGAGTGGACATAGTGTTCCATACCTTCTTTGCTGTGTTGCTAGTTGCGAAGACGTGGTTCATGGTTTCTTCTTCTGGCACCCTGCAACAACAACAACTAGATATACCGTTAGTTCCAAACTTCAGCACTATTTTACCGTATGACATACTCTTGCTAGCACATGGCAAAGACAATGCAGTTACTTATCTCTTTGGCATTTTATGTTTTCTCTAACAGTGCTCTAGTTGTACTAAGAATCTCAAAGCTGTGCAGTCTAAGTATGCTAGCATCTGTGGTGTTACTAGTTAGTTCTTTCAATTGTATTGCCACTAACATTAAATATATCTGACAATCGCTATTAAAATTTGACATTATTTTGTTATATCGAGTTCAAAAGTTTGGCTTCTTTGAGGGAATACTTCTTGGAAATTATATGAACCTAAAACTACTTGCTGTTGGCTTTTCAAATTTTAGTTGGTGAGACTTCTGTTTTCATTCCATGCAGGGATGGATTAGTTATTTTAATTCATGTAAACAAGAGTGTCTCCCAATAAATGCACACAGTAGAAGTTCTGTACAAAAGGTTAGTCATCCTTTTCTCCATGCTCTGATTTTGCTGAAAACTTGTGATTCATAGCTTGGTATTTGTACACATGTCAATTATGCTTTCACATTTTTAACTCTTTCTCTTCACAATACAACAACATGCCCAGTAAAATCTAACTAGTGGGGTCTGGAGAGAGTGATATGTACGCAGATCTTACCCCTAACCTGAAAAGGGTAGAGAGGCTGTTTCCAGGCTTTCTCTTCACAATAATAGTTTGCAAATTGAAAATGTAATCCCATAATTGAATTTTTCTCTTATTAGTATATCTAGAGAAATTTCTTAAGCATGCTTTACATGTTAAATAGAGAATGAATCAGGATTGTCAAGTACGATGTTCATAACCAAAAAGATTTATGACTCAACAACATGCGAGCGGTCTTCATTATAGTATTAACATATATTCCTGCAACCGAAAAACCACAATCTCAATTCTTTATACCCAAAAAGGTGCCAAATACCTTTGAACTTAATTAGTGTTGACATTGTTCATGAAGGATCGTCCGGCAAAATTGCACCTCCTGTTATATTATGAACCAGATACAGTAGAAGAAATTGAAAAGATTTCTTCACCTACATGATATCTGATACGTTTTATTCTTGATCGCATTGCTTGATGGTGCTACTTCTTTTGTAAAAAGAATCTTAAAGTTCCCAATTGTAATAAGTAGTCATGGGAAAGTATAAACTGAAACAACAAAAGTAAGAAGGAAAACTATAAAAGATAGGTAAAACCCTGATTAAAAAGTCTTAGTGGATACTCTAGCAAATATATTTGCCGTGAGAGCAAATGGATGTTCAGTTTCTCCATTCTTGTGCCTGAAACTGTGCTGTTAAACAACATATGTGCATTCAAACATCTAGTTAGTTGGATCTTGGATCAAGGAACTTGAGAATTTTTTATAGGTTGGCAATATGCATCTCTTCTGAGAGTTTTAATCCAAATCTCTATTGTTCATATTCCGAAGCTTCTTGATCTGGTCGAGTTTAAACTGAAGGAGGTTATGACAAGGGAACCTACTCTCCTTGCCATGGTGTTGGGTGTTCCGAATGTTGGAAAATCAGCATTAATCAACTCCATCCATCAAATTGCATTATCTCGATTTACAGGTGAGGCTTGTTTTTGTTGGCGATTCTTTTTGGGTGCTGTTATAGGAAGCTGATAGTGGCTATGTTATCGAGTGTATGGTCTATTGATGGTTGTGATCTTAGTGCAGGAGAAGATGAACTAGAGTGGGGCCTTTGCCTGGTGTTACTCAAGATATTGCTGGATTCAGGGTTAGAAATATTCAACAACATAAAGGGTCAGATTTTGCTGTTGTTGCTTGTCCCGTAATGGCTAAAGTTGATTGCTCCCATGTTCTACAAACACGAGCTGGCTCGGCTCCACTGTTAGAAAAAAAAAAAAAAAAAAAAACGTTTACGGGAGTACATTCATATATTAGACGCTAAAGTCACTAGTCTAGCAGGAAAACCAGTTACCTTCTCTGAGGTTCAGGTTGCATTCATGTGTATAAAGTGTTGTTCTGTTGATCCAGTCTTTAATTTTTATCTCTTATCTAAAAGAAAGATTCAATAGTGACTTTTAAACAACTGAAAGAAGTGGAAGACTAAATATGTGGTGACAAGAGTTAATTTATTCGAGAACTTCTTGTTAGAACTCATGGCATTCTCAGTTTTCCTGAATGATTCCTATGTCTATCTCCATACTTCCATGAGGTCCCGTGACTTTACGTAATATCGTGATTATTTTATCTTGGCATCACTTTTTATTGGTTGTTGTTTTGTTGGTTATTCTTACAACAACGACCCAGTAAAATCCTACGAGTGGGGTTTGGGGAGGGTAGTGTGTACGCAGACGTTACCCCTTGTTGGTTATCCGTGTTGATGCTAAAATACTAGTATTGCATACAGATTGCACATCGACCCAGCATATATGTGCTGGACACTCCAGGAGTGTTGGTTCCAAGTATCCCACATATAGAAACCGGGCTAAAGCTGGCTCTTGCAGGTATCTACCTAAAATTGTCCTCAAAGTTGTCTTATCCTACTGAGATTCTTGGATTTGTGATTATGTTTAGTATTGGAGGCCTGCAAATGGTCAGTTCTGAAAAGACTAGTCGCTTATGGCAAAGAGCTGGCTCAATTTTCTCGGCTCTTGTGCCCTAAGAGGACGGCCATTTCCAAACAAATCATAGTTTGGTAACTTTCTAATTTTGTTGCAGTACTTGATAGGCATGATTAATGTCCTTTCTAGCCTGCATAATCACTTCCCTTCCCACCATCTCTATAGCTCCAAAGCACAGAGTAAAGGAAACAAAATGATTACATGAAGTTAGTTTTTGGCGTTTACACTTTTGAGTCAGATACATTAGAAAAACTCCAGTCCAGTGCAGTTATTAGTTGGTCCATTTACTTGTCCACGTTGAAAATTTTCTTGTATCAATTCTGAAGTTATGTTACAACCCAAACAGTAGTATCACTTGTCAAATTGTATAAATACATCAATTACGAACTAATATCCAGTACAAAAAAGGGAGGAAGAGGTTTGCGATGCAGACTTCAGCAGTATCCATGACAATACTGTAGTAATTTATACCGGTCTAATATTAATTGCAATTCATATTTAATTTAACTAGTTTCTCGGCACGTGCATTGCACGTGTATACCGAGTTATGTAATATATAATTTCGTAAATGATATTAATATTATCAAAATAAAAGTTTGAGTAAATAATTATATCTAAGAAGCAGTGGCAAAGGCAGGATTTTCGATAAGGGGGTTCAAAAAAGAAAAAAGTTAAAAAATTAAATGAGATTGTAGCTAGTGGGAATTGAATTAATGACCTCACAAAGGTTTTGAACCCCCTTGACCACTAAGCTATGCTTTTGAGCTATGTCAAGGGGATTCAAAACATAATAATAGAGATAAAAAACAGATTTTGCCATATATATACAGTGTTATTTTTCGACGAAGGGGGTCCGGGTAAACCCCTTCCGCCCCGCTAAAAAGATAAATTACAAGCTTTTATGAATAACCAATATAAATGGCGCATGATAACTTATTTATTGAGATTAAGACGGTTGGACATCTTACCAAGCAATAGTTTTGTTTATTCTTATTTGAAAAGGTAGCAACGGTTGGAAACGAAAAAATAGGAAATAATTTTAGTTAGAATTGATTTTGGACATTAACAACTAATCTGAAGGATTTTACTCCTTCAAATAAATTTATTTTTTTCTTGGTATAAATAGGATATTTATGTTATTAAGATTTTTTTTTTTTTTTTACTTTTTTAGCATTGAGATTTCCACTTTTACAATAATATAGACATGGTAATAATTCTACTTAGCGAAAAGCAAAAATATTACTAATTGTGTGATTGAGTAATCCAAATAATCTGTTAAAATAGTATCAAATAAATTTATATTAAATAAAATATTTTATAACTAAATATGCATATGTCGCTTGTCAATTTTTGTTAACAGAAAGAATTTAGTGCATATTTGGAAAGAAAATAAAGAAGGTCATTGTGTTTCTCTTTCAGCCACTTGTCAAACAATTGCAGATCGGAANCCTTGTTTTAATTTATAAAAAATAGCAAAATAATTTCTGGAAATAAATCAAATATGATAAAATGATTAATGATACATAATTATCAAATTAAAAATACTAGAGTCAATTTTATAAATATAATTACAATTGAATCTTTAAAGAGGCTAGTATTGCAATTATATGCAATTTGGTTTTAAAAATACCAAATGAATTTTTTTTAAAAATATGCAAAAATCATGTTAGCTATGTTTTGATGTAAATATGAGAATAAAATAAATCGTTCACCAACATGGCAAATTTTGGGAATAATTATTGGATTTTATGGTATAAAAATAGGCAATAAATTGGTTTAAAAATCATCAAAAAATATCAAAACTCATGGGTGTGCTTATATATGCACAAATATACTATTTTGGAAGTATTTTGGGTACGAAAAATACATAGGGAAAAATTGGGTATCAACAATGTGTCTACACCGGTGGGTGACCCTATCTGGTCGATCGAGTCCATCGTTCGTGTGCTGTAGTGATTGGGGGTCTGGAGACCCGTGTAGACTTGTTGCTCTTAGATATGGTTGACTTCGATATCATATTGGGTATGGATTGGTTATCGCCCTATCACGCTATCTTGGACTGCCATGCCAAGACTGTGACCTTAGCGTTGCCGGGTATGCCTCGGTTAGAGTGGAGAGGTACTCCATGTTATTCTACCCGCAGCGTCATTTCGTATGTGAAGGCTCGACGTATGGTCGAGAAGGGGTGTTTGGCCTATTTGGCCTATGTTCGTGATTCCAGTGCTGAGGTTCCTCCTATAGATTCTATGCCTATTGTCCGGGAGTTTCCAGATGTTTTCCCTTCAGACTTGCCGGGCATGCCACCCGACAGGGACCTTGATTTCTGTATTGATTTGGCTCCGGGCACCCAGCCTATTTCTATCCCGCCATATCGTATAGCCCCGCAGGAGCGGAAAGAGTTAAAGGACCAGCTGTAGGATTTGCTAGAGAAGGGTTTCATTAGACCTAGTGTTTCACCTTGGGGCGCGCCAGTGTTATTTGTCAAGAAGAAGGACGGATCGATGAGGATGTGCATAGATTACCGGCAATTGAACAAGGTAACGATCAAGAATAAGTATTCACTGCCGAGGATTGATGATTTGTTCGACCAGCTTCAGGGTGCCAAGGTATTCTCCAAGATTCACTTGCGATCTGGCTACTATCAGTTGAGGATTAGGGCATCCGATGTCCCTAAGACAGCTTTCCGTACTCGGTATGGGCATTATGAGTTCTTGGTCATGTCATTTGGGTTGACCAATGCCCCAACAACATTCATGGAGTTGATGAACCGAGTGTTCGGGCCATATTTGGACATGTTCGTGATAGTCTTTATTGATGATATTTTGGTGTACTCCCGCAGCCAGGAGGAGCACGAGCAGCACCTTAGAGTGGTTCTTCAGACTCTGAGGGATAGTCAGTTATATGCCAAGTTCTCCAAGTGCGAGTTCTGGTTGAGTTCAGTAGCATTTCTGGGTCACGTTGTATCAGCAGAGGGTATTCAGGTGGACCAGAAGATTATTGAGGCAGTCAAGAACTGGCCTAGACCAGCATCGGCTACAGAGATTCGGAGTTTCTTGGGGTTGGCAGGCTACTACCGTCGGTTTGTGGAGGGGTTTTCGTCTATTGCAGCCCCGATGACCAGGTTGACCCAGAAGGGTGCCCAGTTCAGATGGTCGGACGAGTGTGAGCCGAGCTTTCAGAAGCTCAAGACAGCTCTGACTACGGCACCGGTGTTGGCTTTGCCCACAGGATCAGGACCTTATACAGTCTATTTTGATGCTTCCCGTATTGGGCTTGGTGCAGTGTTGATGCAGGGTGGCAAGGTTATCGCCTATGCTTCGAGGCAGTTGAAGATTCATGAAAAGAACTATCCAGTGCATGATTTAGAGTTGGCAGCTATTGTTCACGCCTTGAAGATTTGGAGGCACTATTTGTATGGCGTGGCATGTGAGGTGTTCACTGACCACAAGAGCCTTCAGTACCTGTTCAAGCAAAAGGAGTTGAATTTGAGGCAGAGGAGGTGGTTGGAGCTGTTGAAAGATTATGATGTCACCATTTTATACCATCCGGGGAATGCCAATGTGGTGGCCGATGCTTTGAGTAGGAAGTCAGCCAGTATGGGCAGTCTTGCTTATATTCCAGTCAGTCAGAGGCCGCTTGCTTTGGATGTTCAGGCCTTAGCCAATCAGTTCGTGAGACTGGATGTTTCTGAGCCCA